CTTTCCGAGATCTCAGGGGGTCAAATTGACCCCCACCCGAGCGAAGGATATCTAGCCGGCCACCCGGCGCGTGTTAAAGGGGTGACCCTGACATACTCTCCCGAAACAATCTCGCCATTTTCGCGGGCGCGTAGCTAAGAAACTAGAGAGCTTCAGACCTTCAGAGGGCAAGCCTGTGAACTGCACCAGCTGATCTCCAAGATGGCTTTTTCAGTTCAAAACATCATAGAAATGTGGAACACTCCCTTTAAACAGAGTTAATATAAGTCCCGATCGATACACCTGCAGCACCGCCATCCCGAAACCAGTCTTCATTTCATTCCAGGTAGTGCTTGAACATACATATCTACCAAAAATAAGATGATGGGACAGGCCGCTTTACAGCCTTAACCGTTCGATACTAAGCCGGTTAATGAGGTTTATGATTTGATGTGTGCTACCATGCTTTACATAAACATTATTCAAATGCTTCCGACCAATTAGGCCATGTTTGTGATGCGTCGGCAATGACGTTGACAACAGCAATAGCTATGGGCATTGCGTGCTTCGATGGCTGTCGACATAATACACACAGCGGTGGGGTATTATGTCGGCAGCCATATGACGCTTGCGAAGTTCAGGCATTGAACGAGAAAAATGACAGGATTGACATCGACGACGTCGCATTGCGATGCGCAATACCTACGCTAGTGCACTACCATTAGTTGACTGCGTTCTTAGTTTGAAAACGCTCGGCGCGCTCTTAAGAGCATTTGTTTTCCTATATCCTGATGCTCCGTTCATAAACATGTAAGTGCAAGCGCTTCAACTACAAAGCATATTTATATTTCCGCTTCAACCAGTGCTTATTTATGTCTCCGCTACAATCAGTACCAATCCAAACGAGCGGGCACCCCGCACCAAACGCCTCTGTGCGTTTGGGGCCGTTGGGGCCGCTTGGGGCCGTTGGGGCCGTTTGGGGCCGCTTGGGGCCGTTCTGCGGCTAAGTCCTCCCGTGGCAGAGACCGACGACTCTTAACTCAGGCGGCTCTGGGCGACAGCCGAGAACAGGACGACTCAGACGCTGGCGTCCAGCTGTGATGGGCAGAGCGGTGAAAGCACAAAACGGCACGCCCGCACGGGACTAAGGGCGCTTCTGAAAAGGAGTTCGATGGAAAAGCGGCCCGTACGGCTGAAATGCCGCAGCACGAACATAGCCCGTTTGTAAGTCAGTTTCCACAAGAAATGGGATAAACGCAAAAATACTGATATGAGAGACTATATTGTGTATTTTCGATGAGGTGGTCACAAAAGATACAATTACATTATCACCACAACCAACAAAACGATATACGGAATAAATACAGTACATACACAGTAGGAATAGCACTGCGTAGACGACAAAATAATCCGGATCTAACGCCTCAAACCTCCTCATGATTTCATCGTATGCATCATGACCGCAGGCACGAGCCGTTATCTGCGATTAGATTTCTGCCCAAATCAGTTTCGGTCTTCCACAACAAAGCACTTTGAACTACTTCGGGCGTTTCAACCGTGTCGTCAGCACGGCGCTTCGCAAAGCCGACCACGCATACGACGTGCTTTGGTTTCACATTTTCCGACAAGCGTGGTCGAACACCGCCACAGCCGAAGTGCGTACGGCAGGCGGTCGCAAGGGCGACAATCTGACAAAGGAAAACTTTGAGGGACGTGGTAAGTATCGCAAAAGGCTAGAAACCAAACGCTTCCCCAAATCTGCCGACGTGTCTCCGAACACAAAACAAAACGAAAAACAAAAGAAAACCGCGAAGCCGGTTCCAACAATGGCGGATAATAATCGCCCAACCATTGTGCTTGGCGAACCACAACAAGCGGGTAGCCCTGCTAGTACACTGCAGCAATAAACGTACCACGTCACGGTCCATTCAGCAGCGCACAACAGCCGCACCTGGCCAGCGCTGCCATCACTACTGACGAGGCAACGGGGTCGATCGCGGGCACACACAGCCCAACGGCGGCCACCCGGTGCAGGCTCTGGCCACCTGGCGCCATGTGCCGAGGCCGGGGGACGGCACCAGGCGGGGCGCTGGGTCAGGAGACGGTCCCAGGCGGGGCGCTGGGGCAGGAGACGGTCCCAGTGGCGGCGCTGAGTCAGGAGACGGTTTTAGGCGGGTGGCTCGGGCGGCCGGCGCCTGGCCAGGATTTCGCTAAGGATCCCAATCGACGTCCACGAAGATAAAGACGAGGACGGCGAGGACCGCGGCGGCTGCGGCGACGCCCAGGCACACGTAACACCAGACGTTGTGCTGGCCAGGACAAGGGCGGCACAGGTCAGGACAGGTCAGGCAGGAACGGAATGTCGGAGGTGGTACGGAGCACGTCGGCGCGATTCAAATCACGCAGGTAATCGGCTTACTGTGACAACTGCCTCGCGCTACGCAACGTAGGCTCATTCATCGAATAAGAACATCCGACACACTAGACAGCGGCGGTTTAATAAACCCGTGTCATAACAGATTCGGCGTTGGCAAACCTGACTGGGGCCGCATCAGTGACGATATTCAAGGCTGGCGGACAAGGTGTACGGAAATATTGCAAATTTTTTTCCAGTCCACATTCGTAGCCAGGTTGGGATATGATCAAATCGTATTGCATAAATACAACATTTGGCTGAGGGCCTCATGACTGACATGAAATCGGTCCTGGATCGATTGACCGGGTCAGCACAGGCCAGGTTCCATTAGCCGTGTCAGCACAATTGGGTTCAATTGGCCGGGTCAGCACGAGCCGGGTTTGATTGACCAGGTCAGCATGGGTAGGGTTTGATTAGCCGGGACAGAAAGAACTGGGTTCGATTGGTTGGGTCAGCACGACCTGAGCCCGATTGGCAGGAACAACACGAGCTGGGTTTGATTGGCCGGGTTAGCACGAGCGCCGCCCCTGAAGAATGGTTTTCTATTTGCGCGGTACAACAATGTACGTAGGCATATATACACACACGTGTATGGAGCTTGCGTTGGTGAATGCGTTTTGCCACAGACCTGCAGCATCGTTTCTGGCAGGGTCCAGAGAGTCAGCAAGCAACTGGGCGTCGGTTGAGCCAAACCTCGTACAAGTGAAATATAGGATTCGTACGGCCTCATGCGAAAGTTTGCTGGTCGTTGAAAAACACATTTCATTCTGCCTTTAAAGGGGGCGGGGGTGGGGTGGGATTCCGACACACTCAGCTGCTTCGGCTAAACGGAGTCGCCTGCCTCCCCACCGTGGCATGAAAGGCGGGCGCAGCGGATCCGAACTTTTGTATGCATTCTGATGTCATGGTGAAAAACGACTTTTGCTAACCACGTGTGCCACCGGGCTTTCCAGCGCTGGTTGACAAGTGTTCGGTATATCTGGTTATCATCTATAGACCACAGAAAACGACGGAAAGTCCACTCTAAACGGGCATTATGATCAGCCGAGTACCCCCTGTGCCGGGCTGATCGTCCAAGCCACCTCGTGTTGACGGATAGAAGCTCCAAAGAAAGGGACGTCCCGCGTCAAAAGCCGGGCACAAGTGCTAGCTTTGAGTTCAGCGAACCACCGTTAACTGGCAGATCTTCAATTAACTCTCCAAAACAGCACGTTAAACGCTTAACGTTTTCGTGGAAACATTTCGAAAGATGGACATAACTATCATCAACTGCATAGAGTGAGCGAGAACCGTCCTTCCTTCCGTCTGTCTTTCAGTCCTTCAGAGCGAGCTTATGGCGGATGTCAACCAAGTCATTCTCACGCGGGGCGCGTCTCCCTCTCGTTCCGAAACACGTACAAACGGAGCAAGAGATGTTAAGAAATTTTGGGGAAAGGGGAATGAATAATGGAATAGACCAGAGATCAATTTGATCACACAGCAAGAGTTATAGATTAGAAAATGACATCAGCATCGCACGTGTTGCAAGTGTTCCCAGCGTATGGATTACAATGGAGCTGTACGTATTACTCTTACGATTTGCGCTCATTCGGACACCACAAACACGAATTAGCCACGCACCAGTCATTCTGCGATCGGTTCCCTGTATTTTACAGCATCATTTACCACCGTGGGAGGCATGCATTGCTGGACATACCTCATGTATTTCCACTCAATATTGCCCCGTCCGGGATTTCGGTGATCTCGGACATCCGTGCCCTCGTGAATGAGCCGGCTGCATGTCTTTTGCAAGCAATGTGAAACGCTCATCAACTGCATTACTTTCTGCTAACTGGGCTTTGTTGGTGGCCGCGCGAGATCGTTCTTCGAGCGCCTGGCTCTCCAGTTCATCAACTGCGCAACACCAATGTGATAGACCATGGCTGGACCACTGCTTGCATAGCGCGCGCGACATCGACCCCTGAGCGGCGCCCCTGTCATATTTACATGTCCTCAAAAAGGAAGCCATTTTAGCTACTTACATTGAACTAACACAAATGTCCCATGCTTGCTTCGTAAGGATCACATAGATGCAGCTCAATAGTTGTTACTTCATAGGGTCCATTTCCATTCATCCTCAAGACACTACGCACACACACGCGTGTCTGCTGCCCCTACTGCACTGCTATGCTACACTACTACTGAAGAATGGGTCAATAAAAGGGATTCAACTTTATTTTTCAAAAAACAAGCGGACAATTCTGACTTCAGAACGGTCTTTAAACCAGTAAATTCCGAGATCATGTCATGTTCGCGCCTTGTGTTCGGGTGTAATGTCAGGCGTAGGGGAAATACCCAGGACCAGGGAGAGGCCGTGTTAATCAGGGCAGTAGATGACAAATTTCTACTTATTCCGCAAAAATGACTTTTGGCAAGAAAAATCCCTCAAACTTTTTGCTGTCACACAAGCCTGGCCACAACCAAAGACTGGATCATCTTTACCCGTGTAGCCATTATTTCACGAGCGCCATATTCCAGCTATTCGGCCGTCTGCAGAGCACCAGGCAAGATCAGCGGCATGGAAGTCAGATCTCTCGCCCCTCCCCGCTCCCCCCCCCCCCCCCAGTCCGAGACCGCAAGAGCGCGCCGACACAAGGTCAATTCTGATTGGTCACGGTCCTCTGTGGTGACACACACCAATCGTGTCCATTTACGGGGAAATTAGGCATGGGATTTTTAAGATCTTTATCAATCCACGGCATCTCTTAAAAATGTCATGTTCGATGTCAGTTTTGCTTTTTTTGCTTTGAGCCAGTAGCCATGGTCGCAGAGTTGGGTCCCGAAACTTGGGAAGACGCATTGCCTGGCCGCCTGGCGTAACGGACGATACTGTCACGACGGAATGCACGGGAACCCACAGACCCCGACACACGGAAAGGATAGGGCAGGCCCACACGCAGGACATGACACAAATCCTGCACATTGCAGGGAGCCGGAACATTCCTGCACACAGGAGACCCACGCATTCCTTCTAGGGTACAGGAAGTCGACGGCCCGCACCAGTACAGAGCGCCCGGAGCACAGGACAAGAGTACGACAGAAAACGCAAGATCCCTCCGCGAACGCGTATGGGGCTGGAGTCCTCCATACCCCGCACAGGATGGTCACACCCTCGCACGGAGGCATGGCACAGTCGGCGGACCAGCACGCCGCCAAATGCCGACCGTGAGCCTCTGTTCCAACCACAGCGTTTGAAACCGCAAGGCAGGCCAAATATAGACGAACAAGTGCTCCACCACCACGGGGCGCTCGTCGCAGGTCGCGACCACATGTTGGAGTTCGCCACAGCCCGTCCCCGCCTGGGTCGAAAGGGCCAGGGCCAACCGGACTGACGCAGCGCCGCACTGTAGCCCGGTGTAGCAAGCACGGATTCACGCCCGCCTGCTTGTCTAACGATGACGACTCCACGCTCTAATTCAATGTCGCTTAGGAAATAACTGGTATGATGTGCACGGGTCTTAAGTCGCATTGTCCTCTCTCGCTTACATGAGGTAACCTGTCGCTTTGACAGCATGTCGTTTTGCCTACGCTTCGGCCTTTCGTGTTTCATGTAAGTCCTCATCAGATCCACAGTGGCAATGGCAGACGGCATGGAATACCACAAACGACGTAATACGGTGCTTTTCCGCCATGCATTCAGAGGCAAGCTGAGAGGAAGACTTCGTTTCAAATATGAGATCTGCAACTTTCTTCGAATTAAGTGGTTTAAAAAAAGCACCTTCTGCGATCGGCAATGCCCGTCCAAGATTAGCTGAATCCTAGTTCGACAACAGATGCTGTGGCACCCCTCCCCAATCGCTGTCCGTGTTACTAGTAGCTAATATATGTATACCTGCTAGCTTTTCTCGCCCAAAAGTATCCAAAAATAAAACTCAACAACGCTCCAGAGCACACTTCTTCCGGGCGCTCATCACACACAGCATCTCCCGGTAACGAGCCATCGCAGTACAATCTGGCTGCTGGCAAATGCCGGCCGGCCGGGCGGCGGGCACGTCACGGGCCGGGCCGCCAGTGTAGCGGGAACTACACCCAGGCCGCCAGCCCCGGGAGATGTCTCGTGGGCCGACTCTGGTAACGGATACACTTCACGCAGGCGCACATACGCTCAACCAAGCCCAAACAACGATGTAGATGACTTGAAGGCGCAGACACGTCTGCCTGCCACCAGAAGTCCGGGACGCCGGCGCCCGGGCACGGACCGAAAGCGGAGGAACATGTCGTTGGTTTCAGTGAGTGACCACTGCCGTCGCCAGGGCGAGACTGACGGACAAGCGTGTGTTTGTGTGTTTGTGTGTGGACACAGACTAAAGCAAGGCGAGTGATGGACTACGGCACTACCACGAACTACCTCCCCCCAACAATCTAATGGATGCAAATATACAGGTACAAAGGTACAAGCACCGCAAACGCATCAAATTACCCCAGAGTATCACAATACAATGTATCAAGGAGTTCCTCGTCTTTGGACACAGTAATTTCATAGCGACGATACAAGATAGCCCACAATTCGCCGTCGCGCGCTCTGGGCGGCGCAAGAGCCAGGCGCCGGTGGACATCGACGGCAGTACAGTGCCCAGCAGTCATTCCGGTGTGCCTCCTCCCCACCGGTCACACCGCGCGCCGGCCAGCCGGCTCGCCGCCGACGCCGATCACTCTACGTGAACTGGACTATTAATACTATGGCGATGATCACCAGCACGATTAACAAACAAATGATGATCGCTATTTTTTTCTGAAACAGAAGGGAGAACCGAATAAACTTTACGAAAACAGGATCAGTGAAGCAACCAATCAAGCACTAGCGATTTACTAAACACAAATAAAAGCGGGTGGTAGCGGTATACAATCTTCGAGCATACCTTCCGATACTAAGCGTGCGCACTGAACGTGACGTGATTTGCCAATTATGCGGTACAACTCGTGCACAAAATGTTTAAGAATGGAAACAATCTTGTCACCACAGCATGTATGACACAAATGATTTAAAACTACACAAAGGAACCGCACAAGCCTAGAAACCCCAGCACAACAAATAAATCGTGAGTAAACGCACAAACCAGGAAAGATAGGATGGAAGCATGTTGAGAAATAAACAAAACGCAAGCAGCCTCCGACCGACGAAACTAGCCCAGCACGGGTCAGGCCCGCCAGCGAATCAGCGAGGGGTGGAGACCGTCGCCTAACTGGGAGCACGCGGACGGCGGCAGAAGAGTGCGGGCAAGCGGAGAGGGAGGAGCGCCCGTCGCGTCCCGGCGCCACCAACACCTGACCGGGACAACCACGCCCCACCCGCAAACGCATCCACTTACCCTCCGCGCCTTACTCTGGTACTTAAGTGCCTTTTTCGTGTCCTTCTTCGCCTCCTCTATCCATTCCACCGAGTGTTCGACATTGAACAGGACCTGATCGATCATCTCGCCCTGCGGCCGCCGAGCAGCGCCGATTCGATCCGACGGGACGCGGTCAGGCGCAGCGCCGAGCCAGCGGAAGTTGGCCGAGCCAGCAGCCACGCGGGAGCGGAGAGAGGAGACAGAGACACAGGTCGGTTAGCAGCAGCGGCGGCGGCAGCGGCGGCGCCGTACTCACCCTTCGTGCTCCACGCTGGTACTTCAGTGCCTTCTTCGTGTCCTCCATGGCCTTGCCCACATAGTCGACCGACTGATCTACATGATACTCAATACGGTCGATCATCTCTCCCTGGCAGAACGGACAGACGGCATGTCAGCACGCGCGATGGTGCCGCCGCACGCAACCGCCGGCCTCCCCAACACGCACACCCACACAGAGCCGCAGACGTGCGCGTCGGGCAGCGCTCTCCCAGCTGACCTCAGCACCCAGTGTCAAACGGTCGCCGGCCGACACGCACACGTCTCCGCCCCGGTCAGCCGACATGCGTATCAACCGACAAAGGTTCCCGGTGGACGATACGTCACAACACGACTCCCGCCCAACGACAGAAAATCATAATAAACCCGTGCGCTCAGTGCCGCTCCCCAACCGACGTGCCGATCTCCATCCTGTCCTTCGCCGAGCCGCGATGCCCAAAAACGCTTGCTTCGCCACCGTGTCCCTGGATGCTCAGCAAGATGAACGTTTAATGAAATAAATACACCACGCGACCAACCAGGAAACCAAAGCATCTAGTGCGCTGTTTTCATAATCAAGCACGCCAACAAAAGAACGAAACGGAAGCATTTGAGCACGACACCCGCCCATGCAACGCAGCGCCGGCGCGGTGGACCTACCTGGCTCTCCACCAGCATGGCCATGTCCATGAACATGTCGTGCAACTCTCGGATCGAGTTCTCCAACTTCATGATGTCAGCGTGACGCGCCTCAATGTCCGCCAACGTTTGCTTGGCCTGTTGTGTCTCCATGATTATCTACAACAGAAAACGTGTTGTAAGCTGAGGCTTCATAAGACGGCACCAGCCCACGCTTTTCGGTCAGGACATTATGAGTGTTTCAATCTGTTACGTCAACTATGCATGGGGATGGTCTGCCTACCCATCCATACGTCGTGTTTTGCCTGTTAACTAGTGTCCAGGTCAAATTAAAAAGAGCCGGGCGCTAAGAATTCGATAGCACGTCCATATACGTGCACACGAGAATGAGCCCAAGCAACGGATCGGCATAGTGTCTGGCGATAATGCCACCGCGAAAAAGGTCATTTAGGAACGATGAGTATACCACATACAGGGGGGGGGGGGGAAGGCTTTGCGCAGTACCCCACGCACCGCACTGCGTGAGGTGGGGGGGGGGGAGGGGGGACTTCGACCCTTACGATCTACTGAGCCAGATTTACTAGACCTACTGAGTACAACTATCGTCGATACACATGTCAGCGGTCCGAAAAGAACGCATTCGTAACCATTTTGCTCATTGACAAATCTCAAAACAATGCCCACTCCAGCCCCATCAGCCTAATGGTCTGGCGTCGCCTCTGTACACGCAACTTTGTCATCTGTGCGTCATGATGGGATTGCTGCACGTCATGTATTACGAACATCTTCCATAGCATTTACGATCAGAATAACATTGTTTCACGGAGTGGTTTGCCTGGCTCATGTCGACAGCTAAATACTCATTTACTCCCAATACTCCTGGGCTGGATCCTGGCAGTTCGCATGCATCACGTATCATCTAAATGTTCCAAACCCTGATGTAAAATACCGTGTTTTAACTCTTTTCAGACATCGGCCGGGGCTGTGAAGAGCCCAAGATTAACGCTGACAGACTCCCAACGCCGCCCTCGAAGTTGCCTCCGGCTGCTTCGGACACAAATTTGTAGGGGTTGCATCCCCTGATTTGGGGGAGCAGCACGCGTCCGAACGTCAGCCCCAACGTCACAAACGTGCCATGAAAATGGGGTTACAACCGAAAAGCATTCATCATCGGTAGGCCTAAAATACCTGCCACCTTCCCAGCCGAGCCCACCGCGGGCGGCCCCAGCCAGCTATGCAGCCCGTTCCCCGACGTACTGAGCATACATGATTTCGAGCGAGGAGCGAGGAGGTGGAAGTGAAGACGTGGTGGACGCAACCACGATGGCTTGTCAGCTGCATTTATCTTTAAGTATGTTGTAGCTGCAAAAGTTATACTTGGCACCCCTACCAGTTGCGTACCAACATTCTGATTCATGCTTACGGTAGAAAGCTGATGCAAATATGGGAAGCGCGAAACAACAGCGACCTGCCTCCACGAGATGCTAAATTTTCGCACTGGAGTTGAAAAGCGCCCGGGATGCTACCCCAAGCAAACGGTGTGCACCGATCAATCAGCCCATAATCGGAGGATTTTTGATTACTTCATCTCCTTGTGCCATATAAGGAAATTAGAGGTGGAATGGTTGTACGACACATATATAGTTCAGCACAAAGCAACGTTTTGTTATTTTTGTTGTAACTGAGCTATGTTTTAAATGATAACACATAAAGGACGCATATATTCTCCTTTATGCGCAAAGCTACACCACCGCGAAATAGGTCTGAATATTTCCCTGGCAGGCATGTACTCACCCCTTGTGTAAAAACGGCAGGATTGCCCTGTTCAAGCATGTCCTCAAGCTCCTTGTCTGTTGTATTTTTTCCAGCTGAAAAAGCAAAAAAAAAAAAACATGAGGCCATTGGTCAGAACAGGCGACTGAAGTCACGAATCTGCCAACTGATCCGCTCTGAACAAAACAAGTGGGTAGGATACGGGAGTGTTGAAGTACACTACAAATGGACTTCCTTCACCACCCGGCCTCCCTTCTGCAAAGCCTTGCTAACTCGCTCACGTAACGCTTGCCATGCGCACGATAACAAGCGCATAACCCGGGGCTCAAGCTTCAAAACAATCACAGTTATCACTGCGAGTTTCGCGAGAGCTGGGACAGCGCCTCATCTGTACTGCTGAACGGGGCGCCAGCCTCCAGCCTCCAGCCGCAGCCGCAGCCGCCGTCTGGACGCCGACCCCGCACTCACTGATGTCCATATGCCGCTTGATCCGGCCCTTGCAGCGCTCTCTGTAGTCGGTCTGCGTCCGGTTGTACTCGGTCATCACCTCCACGAACTTCCGCGACAGCGTGGCGTGCTGCGTTTTCCTTATCCGCAGGTCGGCAGACGACTTGTTGGTGTGTTCTTCCTGCTCGATCCCCTGCTCAATGCCTGCCAAACAAGCCTGGGCTTTAGTGTGTGTGACTACCATCAGCAAACGAAAACCCACCTGCAATCAGGCGAAGAGCGATGACTGCGTTCAACAAGCTGAGCTCTGGCCGACAAAGCGCAACGATACTCGCAAGTAACTATCTCGCAAATAAATGCACACACTACTTGTGCGTGCATTTACATGCAAGCACAATGCATTTTAATTTTGCCTACTTATAGTACATGATATACATATATAACATTATATGTAGCTACATGACATAATATCACCCCACAAATAGTGAGGTGTCCAAAAAACAATGTCAATTGTGATGCGGGTTCCCTACCCGCGGGTCTCAGGATAACCTGGAATAAGAAAAACTATGCGCACTTAACATTCTAGCAAGCTGAAAGTTGTGCCAAAAGCTGATGCGACGGCGCGTACGGTACGGATGAAATCCAACCACAGTCAAAGACCTGCATGCTCGTGCTTATTTTTTTTTTTACTTCTAGAACATCACCATCATGTTTCACAAGCGGAAAACAAACCAGCTCGGAGTCTCAGTGCGAGTTACATATTGTTTAGTCATCACGGTATTGCATGCCAGGTTTTGGATCCAGCCATTAAATTCTAAAATGTGTACCGGGGTTCGGCGTCGCACCGACCACGTACCCGATTTTGGGATGCTATTTCTATGCGCTATCGATCCGGACGATCCTCGTCCAAATCGATGCACACGAGGGGATCATGCCCAAACTGATCAAAACGCACGATGGATCATAGCCTAGGCGGGCCCCATTATATCCCAGAAGGCCAGTCGGTGACCCAATGCTGGCTTGACGTGAAGTCCTTCGCAATAATTTTGGCCGGTCCCGATTGCGCAAGGTCAACACGCGCCAGACCAAATGCGCCATCTCTGCAGTTAGTCCACAGTTCGACCCCGAGCTGGCGTAAAAACAAAATGATGCCACGGGTCGTCCCATGCACCAGGAAAAATCAAATGTTCTGAAAGCGCCCCAGCATATCACCTCATATCGTCTGTAATGGTATTCAACAGGCTACACATCCATAGCTATACTAACTCACACAATTTCTTACCTTTTAACTTTCCTCGCACTCTGTTCGCTGTTTTCTTTATGTCCGCCATCAGGTCCTCCAGCTCTTGCTTAACCTCTGGAAAGTCAAATGCCATTTTAAACATATCAACTCCTTTAGGTACACGACGAAGACACCTGACGGAACGCGAAGGCAACTGACGAAGTGCAACATTTGCAAGCACGCAACCGACCGGATGCATGATGACTCATGTCTCAATGCACAGCACTCTCCATGCCTTATATCTCTATACCCCCAATGATGGAGAGATCAATGACTAACGATAATAAAGGGTTTACTCACATCACCTTCTCTCACTTATCTGAGCAGCACATCTTGAAGATTTCAAGTCCCTTGGCATCTGTTACCGCAAAGTCCAGCCAGGGCGCGTGATGGTATGTTCATGACAACTCAACTAGCTTGCTAGTCTTAATGGCAACGGCACGTGCCAATGACCAGGGCATACTTACTCTCATCTGTTGTAGGCGATGCAAGGATGGCGCTGTGCTTTTTCTTAACTTCGTCCACATTGGCCTGAATTTTGTCTATGTTTTCGCGTATTTCTTCCACCTGAGAAAAAAAGCATTCAAAAGCATTTAGCAATTCGCCGCAGCAGTAGTCTCTTCTCTATTCCAGACAGCGCCAAATTTCATGCTTCACATTTCCCACGCGACTTCGCTTTCAGGGCAGCGAAATGAATAACTGATTACGGTAACAACGGGAGATGTATAATTCGCAGAGCATTGCTTCATGGTGAGCCGTTACATTAATCTGCGCTTTGTTAGGCTTAAAAACGACGTGGAAAGTCAACAGCGCAGTCATCCTCTGCAGACAGTTCTGCACTCAGCCCATGGATCTCTGATTGATACGAGCCCCTGAAAGCTCCAAAATCCGGCAGCCAACAGCCTGCACGGCTGTAAACACTGCTCATCCGGGGCCTTTAAAACCTCGACCACAAAGACAACCGGATCGAAATAGCAAAATGGTCCACAACTGAGTCATAACCTGAAGTTGGACGTGATCCGGCTTTACGACCGTGGCTTGAACTTAGTGACGTAAAAGACGTTGATCAACCCATTCTCCCGACCCATATGGAGCCAGCCACCATGAAACCATTACCATTCGATGCACTTGTGAAAAAGATGCACCACTTTCAGAGTTAAGTGGCATTGGGCAAACATACGCAGTTGGCGGACAATAGCACCAGCAGCAAAACAACTACCATACCACACTTCCATAGGGGTTTCGGCAACCCGCCCAAAACAGACGAATAACCCAAAGTTGGAGTGCGAATGTTCAGAAATGAATGCCATAATAGACTATGTCCATTTTAGCTTCCACTAAAAACATGCAACCTAACAGTCCTGCGTTGCCTCAACATAATTTTTCCACAAAAGAAACGCGGTGCACGTCGTCATGCAGCATTGAACGAAGCGCGTGCTACAATGACCACTTAAGCGCCCAAACGTCAAAGCGTCAGTCAGGATTCGAACTCGGCCCTCCCACGTGGAAGCCAAGCACGCTTTACAGCCACAGCTGAAACCTGAAAACACCATGACTATACAAACCGTGAGCAAAATAAGACTTACCTCCGCAAAGAAGTCATCCATAAAGCCCTCGCGGTTGTCGACGTTGACCGTGACGTCATCCGGGCCATCGTCGTCGTCGCTCTGGGCCTGCAAGCACACGTGCAATCTCTGTGAGACTACCTACAAAGTCGAGCTGGAAAATAGGTTGTCTTCAGTCAAGCTCACTCGAATGTTCCAACCGGAAAAGTTTGTGAAATACAGTCAAAATTTTCACGATCTGGGTCGAACCGACGGACATTTCATACGGTTGGGAGAAAAATTGCTTAGCGCAACGGGAAACATGGCTTAGCACCATTCGTTCCGTTGTGGCGGTCTTGTCTTCTTCTGGTGCCTACTCCAGTAGTTTAATTGTGGTATAAGCGCTTTCTTCTAAAAGCGATACCAGAAACTGATCAAAAGGATTGGGAGGCAACCAGCCAAGCTACGTCAGCATCTTCGTTCGCTGCAGCACAAGGATAGGCTCATTTGCCTGGCTGTCATCTCTGGGATGACAATATAAATATCTATATCAAGTGATCTATTAAAGATCATGCTCCATCTGTATGAATATGGGGCATGCTCATGCCCGATACCATCGCCAATACATGCATGAGGCCGAACAAGGGGCCGATGCCTTCCCTGTGATGGTCCTCCCAGGACCCTACTGGCCACTATCGTTGGACACTTGCAGAGGCCGTCAAGCCCTAGAGCCCTCAATGGTCAGAAGGAGTCGGCCCAGGTGTCGGGCATGTGGCGTGGCAGCCTGGAGCCGCCCGAATAGAGCATCTCCGTGATACCAGGCACAAGCCTTTTACTGAGGTATAAGCTATATGGAAGACAGAAATAGCAGCCAACCAGAGACGAGACAAGAAAAATGGTTCAGGTGTGACCATCACATCAAAAATTTACCAGCTGTGCTTGACAGCTCTTCAGGGAAAAAACTCCCGTACCTGTGCCCAAACTGTTCCGTCACAACTGCGTCAACGAACCTGAAGCCCACCAACTAAAACTTGGCCATGGTCACCCAGTATTATCCACTTCACACCTGTCTCATATTTACCCCCCCCTTTAGCTATTCTACGTGCATGATTGCCGAGATATCCATCTAGTCCCGTCTGAAATCCTTTTAAGATCGGTGCCTATGGGACAACCGATCTGCCGAAGCCCACGTTCTCCCCAGCACCGACACCCCGCTCCGGCTCCTTGCGCACGGAAAGCCCACCGGCGTTTGAGGGCACTTATCGATGACAGTCACTGTGGCAGTAATTGGGGCTCAGGGGCGCTCCGACGGCGCGGTCATTTAGCGTCCACAGCGTATGTCCTAATCAAGGTTAATCGAAACGTTCAAAGTGACCTATCATGTGCTGCGAACGGTCTGAGTCAGTGTATATATATATAGAGCAGAAGTTAACACACGGCAGGAATTTAAGGAGACGTTCAATGAGCATTGAGTCGTTACCGAGTAAATCAGAGAGCGTGAGAGACGGTGCAGTCGGGCCGAAGTACCACGGAAGTTCAGCAAGTAATACGGGACAGGAAACGAGCACATGGCGCACAGTAAGCGTTGCGTTACATTGGCGGCACCGAGACGGTTCATCACGACACAAAAGGTAGTTTCGGCTGGCGAAGTATGGTCGATCCGCAAGCGACTTAGAACGACTTCCTCTCGCCTTCACGCCCGATACGATGACTGCCAGTCCTGAATCGCCAGCTAATTATTTTCAGCTGGTTGGTGCTCATCACATCTCATGTGCTCCACCACCGGCCTCGTTAAGACGAAACATCTGGGCATGGGTCCGCGCGCGGCTATGGCTATGCTCTTGCGCATGAACGAATCGTAGTGCGCTTTGCTGCGGCGACGGCAAGCACATTTCCTGCGACTCTGAGTGGCTTGGAATCCAGCGCAGTAATATGGTCTTCCGGCCTGGTATATGAAGTGAAGACATAAAATGTTCTGCATAAGAGGATTTGTGGGAATAACACGTTTTTAATGCCAAAACACTACTTGGTGAGTCTGACAGAATCACGTACAAGGCATCTTCCTCATCCTGTATAAATCGGACTGAGTGCCTTACTAATCGCGACGACCTCATATATAAAGACGAATACGTTGCTAGCGTGAATGACTGTGTGTCTTGGCCGCACACAAAGGCACAGCCAACGCCCACATCAGTTTTAGAACCGTCCGTATACGTGGTTTTGCGTCCCTGATACGCTTCGATACGTTGTCAGGCTGTAGCTCTAGCAACACACAGCAGCATATCTTGTTTTCGAGTGTGCACCAGAAACACGTCGATGGCTGGCGAAGACGACGCAAAGAGACGCTGGCACAAAGACGCGGCGCTTCGCGTTCGGGAAGACATATCACATTTGACGTAAAGATACAGCACTGTGCTGGGTGATTGGGGAATTGCGCCGGTTTACTAGCGCACTAGCTCAATGCTAACAGCTTCCTTCAGATCGCTAACGGGGGTTCAGCGGCTTCAACGAGTAAGCTAGGCTGCTGGACACGTCCGAAAAGCACCAGTGATGATTTTCAGCGCAGCATGACTTACCGTGTTTAAGGTATTTTTAATAGAAATTGGAGCACCGTCATATACAAAAGACAACATACAGCTTGGAGCATATCAGAGAGTGGTACAAAATAAAGACGTTTCTTTGCAGGTTCCATAAAATTTTTGCAGCACACATTTCACAATGTTCACAGATCAACCACTGTGCTAGTGGTATAAGCCTCCCCACACCCCCAATAAAAGCAGAGTGAAAGGCTCCTGTAGCAGGCAATGAACACACAACCTCAAAATTCAGTGCACTATGCACAAACCAATTGGCCTGTTACATCTCCTAAAGGGAGTCTAGTATGTTTAGGCTGGGAATTTGACTCTAACCAATCAATTTATTGGCACAATGGTAAGTATCCTGCAAATAAGGAGGTTCAATTAAGTCATGCTTGAGCATTCTCAGCATGCACAGACCACTTTCCGAAGCTGATGCCAGTGGCCTCAAAATTTGGAACTGTGAAGTCAAAGTCAGTGCCTTCACGTTTTTTAATGACAAACTGAATCTGAAGGGTGCTAAAACGACACCGCTCCTTATTTTTGAATGACTGTAGCACACTATTAGCTTCCAATGAAAATGTAACAGAGCTGTATGGATAGCTGTCATACTGTGCAATTATTTTAATGGGGATGCCAAACACAGAGCTGAATTTGTTATGCACATAAATGAATTTGCATTTTCCCCCTGTCAACACAGATGTTATCTGAAGCTAGATGAACAGCATCTTTAACAGCATGGCTGTGGCCAAGACCAAGCAGTTAGCACCTTGGTCCAGTAGTGATGTTCTTCAAGGGCTGCAAGTTTGAATGTCAGAGACATTATGCTCTTGACTTTCCTCTTCCTTTACCTAGGCTCAGGTCATTTGCTATTCATCTGAAGCCTTTACTCCTCAATCCTTCTATAGCAACCATCTCATCAGCCATCTCATGAATCATCTTATCTGATCAAGTAATGGCTTCACTGCTAAATTAAAAAATTGCCACTCACTCTGCCACAAAAAGGAAATATGGGATAAGATACAATGGGATATGTAAGGGGAAATATGGAGTCTTGAAGCAGCAATATTCCTAAGCATTTTCTTGCACCAAAATGCAACATTCTCAGCTGATCCAAAAAGGTCATTGCTTGACATCATACTACTCCCTTCTACACCCATGGAGCAGCTGAATGACCAGGCTTGGGGCAGCATTGTTTATACTGCAGGCAAAGCCTAGGCCCCACATAGCCATAGTCTGTGCCCATCAAGTTGAAAGATTGCACCACAGTCTACCAGAAAAAAATTATCAGCTATCAGTGTGCTTGACTGGAATTATTTCCAAATCATGGCAATCTAAGGTATGACTAACTATTCTGATTTAGCAGTCTCAAGCTGACCCTTTTGAAAAAAATCCCCTTTAAACAATTGCAGCCAGGGTATTTGACATAGGAAGTGGCTCAGGAGTGTGCAACTATGTATCTCTGGGGGCCCTGAGCAACTACATTATCTCATATTTTGGTTGTCCAGTGAGTTTCACTGTGCCACTGATTTCCTTAATAGCCGTTTCACCAAAATCAATGTCATAATCATAGTTTCATCACTTGCCCAAACTCTTCACCTTCACCTTATTAATGTTAATTGGCCTGCATGTTCATTTGCTCTCATTCACACTGCTACTTCTATGACAGGGCTGAGTCATATTGGGCCAGATTGGAAGAAATTATGTTGCACTGAACATGTCCTAAAAGTTTCAGCTCATGTGCACCAATAAATCTAAGGTCTCCGAGTTTAGCATATGGTTCTCACCAATGCCAGTGCATGGGGAGCTAATGCAGTAAGGTATTGTAATGTGGTAAAGGTAATCTTGGCAATAACATGCTAGGAATTTTGACTAAAAAGGAGGAAAATTCACCAGGCTCTAGTCTGCCCAGAGTTCAGTGCAAGCAAACATGAGGTTAAACAAACCATTACGACTTAGGCATCTGGTGTAGTGCATAGATTTTTTGTAGACTGGCATTATAGACCCTGCCTTATCATTGAAACATCTAAACTAATTCCCAAATTATATTCTTACCAGCTTTACTCATGAGCCAGTCTGAAAAAAAAATGGTCTACTGGGCCAAAAACATACATGACATCAGTGCTCTTAATGCCACAATGTGTACCACACTCGGGCCAGGCCAAACTGTTTAGTTTTTATATTTTTTTTTCTCAAAAAATGATTTGAATCTACTAAACCACCAAACAAAGAGTTCTCTCATACAGGCACTGTTTCATATGCTGAAATCTGTGTTAACCCCATACCAAAATCTGAGCATTTAGATTTAGAATACATGCAACCAAAGTTTTCACTGTGATGTGGCATTGCTGAAATTGGTCAGTTCAAATATATTGAATCATTTTAAAACAATTTACCACTTCTGTTGCTTCCATATTTCACTCATATTATCAAGAAAAGCCTGCATATTATCACAAATATAGAATAATAGATGTTGGTGACAGCTTTGAAAAATAAATGACCCAGATCCAACAAGAAATCCATATGCATGCTTGAGCACATCAAAAACTAGCCCCAACCTGGATGGTTTGCCACCCCAATCAGAGGATAATTGAGGCCACCATAGAACCATACATTTACATTCTACCCCCAGTTTTGCACATTGGGGCTGACATGCAGATAACAGATATCACATTCTACCCTTCATCCCTCAAGTCCACGAACAATGCAGCATTATCACTATCTCCTGGGCATGATGCATACAATAAAGTTTGGTGATTTATGCTATTTGCCAACAACTACCATCACCAACAGTAAAAATACAAAACATGTTGCACTTCAAATGCAGTTCCCACAATGAAAGTGAGGAGCTCACCGCTTTTAAGGCTGCAAGCCTGTCCTTCATCCTGAAACTGTAGGCTAATCCGGATTAAAGGACCGATGAAAAACTAATCAATTCGCTTCCTATAGCCATCATCTGTCATTACAGCATGAGACTCCAGCGGAGGAAGCGGGCGGACAAGAAATCGATACGTAAACTTGCGCGGCGCACCCAAGAGAAATAGCGGCGCACCATTACATTTACAAGTTTGCAACCACTTATTTAATATACCGAACTAAGCCTCTGGTTATTTTTTCATAATTGGTCTTAAATACAACATTTCTATGGATTTAGTTAAATTTTTATTTGAATAAAAAGAAAGACCTCCTTATCTATAAAGTAGCTTTGTTGTTCCCAATCACCTGAGCAAGATAGAGACGGAACGTTCGTGCGATAACATAAGTCACGACAAGAAAAAAAAAACAACTGTAGAATGTTTGGGAAATACTTGTGCTTCATATCGAGGAAAGTCCAAGCAGTTATGATTGCTCTGAGCTTATGTTACGTTTCCGCACATTGTGATCGAGAGGAAACATCAGATGTACAGTGTGGTGACGAATCAGGGGCGGGTCCAGGGAAGGAATGCACGATGCTATGCCCCCCCTCCCCCCTCCCACTTTTCCCGGCCCCCCAACTGGGACTATAACTGGCCGAACGGGCACAGTGTTAAAATCCCATTATCCGCTAGCTCTTAGCTCACCATGACCTTACATTTGGGAGTAGCTGGCGAACGACTTGCGATAGTTTCCTGCAGTTGTCATGCCTTCTTTTGCAACCAATTCCACGTAGACTTTGAAGTTGTTTAGATACCGCTGTGAAGGCCTCGTCGAATCATGAAGAATGCGCACCAAATTTTAGCCTTGCGTCAAACGTTAGATCACTAAAGGTCGCCGTAAGGTCAAAAACAGTTATTCCTATAGATGCAGTTAAAATCTTTGTTAACACGTGAAGGCGGATATTCAGGGCGCAAAAAAGCGTTAAGACTGCGGGGAGTCCATTCCAACCATTTCTGTTCTTCTACATCGGTCAGGTCAGGTCAGGTCACCCTTCCAGATTGGTCTACCAGTAGCCCACAAGAACGATGCGCTTCCACAACGTGCTCCTGACTAGGTTTATTTTGTCGGGTGCAGCTGTGGGACAAAAGTATTTCAGACACAAACATACTGTTTAGGCTGACCTCGATGTCATCCGAGCCCAACTCATGCCAAATTCATGAGCCATCCAAACAAAAAATGAAATGCTCCCCGGGTATATGTGACCAGTACAATGATTTCCTGTGGTCAGAAATAGTGTACTGTACATATACAGTTACTGAAAATTGCATGGCTGGCCGTCTACATAACACATAGTCCTCTCGACGCTTGGCAATGTATGTGTAAAAAAAATTACCACTTACCATTTGCGCCCCATTTGCGAGAAAGACCATTTACGTTGGTGCGTGAAATTATACGTTATCAGCTTCACAAGCACAATAAAGAGGTGGCTTCATACGTCGTACTCGTTCATGTGGCTCTGCTACGGGTAATGTAAGTAATATTGGTGTTAGATGGCCTCATGTTACCGCACACGTCCTCGTGTGACCTATTGTGACCTCACGTGACCTATATATGCGACCTCCCGCCAGCCCTAGAAAACTTTCTGCCAGGAGAGATATGTACATACGCGCAGCGCGATTCTCTCTTTCTCCAGATCATGGAAGATTGTGCCATTTTGAGGCTAAGCATTTCGGAGAGGATTTGGCAAAATGAGTTAAGGTTGGCTGCTAAAGACCATGAAAATCGACCAAGACATTTGATTCCAAGGTTGGTTATGGCTAACAGGTTTCCGGGTGGCTACCCGGCTAGTCGACGTGATCATTTAATGGTTAATGGCCAATGCAGAGTTTTTTAATTGAGTGTGTTAAAGCAGTAAATAATGTGCTACCATTCAAAATGTCTGAAGCAAGAGTGTCGTTTTTTAAAACCGCTTAGGGCCTCGGCCTGAGAGGTTGACGTAACCTACTCCAAAACCTGTTTTTCCCCGGGTATTGGCCACATGAATTTGCCTCCTCGGTGCTAATTTTGACATTGAGGAAATTCACATTAACAAGACTTTTTAATGTTTTGTACACTAAAGCTGCCTTCCTGCGATGGAATGACCTTTCAGTAGTTCAACTCCATGTGAGCTGCCTTTTTGTTGAAAGTCTTAGTAAGAGATCACTAATGCTACCGTTGTCACTGATCGCGCTGTATAACCACCACACGCACAATTATGCGGCAAATACACGTTCTATGTTCAGATCCAGGCATCCTCATTTAAAAAAAAATGTTATGCATTTGCAGACTTGCTTAAAATGTATAAAGTTAGTATGGCAAAAACACAAGGCACCTCCAGGATAACATTCTCTACAAGATCAGCACGAGACTAGCAGTGATGTGTTTAAATACTTACCACCTAATGCACCAACAGCTGATCTGTGTTTATTTGGCCCAGTATTCCCTCTGCTCATGTCAATTGAGGGGCCGAGAAGAGCATTGACGAGGGGGGCTCAAGTCAGCATTGGGGGCTCAAGTCAGGTGGCATTCCGGCGATACGGGGTCTCTTAGAAGGATGCATCATGAATTTGTCCCCTCCAGTCGTAAGAGGCCCTCTGGTCCGATCCGGTGACCCCAAATCGACACGCATGCCCTCATTGACGCAAGAATTCACTTATCCCCGCCGTTGATCCAAAAATTTGCACGGAGCCTCCAGTTCGGCCTAACAGGCCCTCGGCTGAAATGGGATGGAGGGGCTCTGTTCAGTGCTGGGATGCTTGTCTGACACAGGGCCCTTCCATTAACTGATTGCCATTGTCATTTGTCAGAGCCCCCTGTGAAGGGGCTCTGACAAATACAAATCGTGAGTCAGACCCTGTCACTGCTTGGGAAATGGAACCTCAGCGCTCAGACCGATACGGAGCGGACTGTTCGGTGGTGGCGGTCTCTGGCCCTTAACCCTCAGTTCTGAGGGGATCTTCGAGTCTTCTTCGAACCCCCTGGGGCATTGCCCCTGGCTTCTCCGGGCCCCTTGCAAACACAGGATTAGGCACTGTTAGGCACTTGAGCACTGCGTGCCCCTGGCCAACACAGGAGGCCCTCAATGACTCGGGGCCCCGACCAAGCAAATCGCGGGCCCCGCTCTTGCAACTGTTAAGGAAATAGTCTATCAGGCTCAAAAGTGACACGGAACGGACTGTTCGGTACTGGTGGTGTCTGACCGATAGGGGCCCTCATTGATTCAGGGGCCCCATCAGCGCAGAAGGCCATCTGACCGGCATTTGAGGGCCTGGCCCTGCGGGCTGGGACCTCTTAATAGATCTCGAGCCACCCCTTCGGGCCCTTGATCGTCTGCCCCGGCGGGCCCAAAGGGCCCCTCACGAGCAAAGAGAGGGAGAAGACCCCTTGTGGTTTCTACCTACGCTACTACCTTGCGCGTAAATTATCGATTCAGTGTCCCGGCACGTTAGCATTTAGGACCCCGACAACAGAGTAGAGGCCTGCGAATAAAGGTTAAAAAATCAAGAGCAGCTGCCTAAAATGCTGTTCAGGGATCGAATTAATTCCGGCAATCGGTAGCAGCGTAGGGGTACCTGGTCAGCGCAATAAGCCTCAACACATCTCCAATAATACTGCCTCAATCAGCAAATAATTAGTTTGTTTTGCTCATAGGCCCTTCGCTTTTGCCAGCGGCTGCTCATAGTCCCCTGGAACCTGGTTCCCGTTCGGCCGGTTGTGGGTTTCTTCTGAGGTTATGGGCCGAAGGGGCCCATAAATCTATCAACCCTCTTGATTTTCCATTGGCCTTCCTGTGATCTTCATAATTTGTTTACCATAACCAAGCTCCTCCTCGACCTTCCAATGACATGGTGTGGTCGTCATAGGTCACTTGCCCAACTTGACCTTAGGCTCCAGTGGCTGACAGCACGCCGTCTACCCAGGCGACTATGTCCTGTGACAGTCGTGCGGGCTGCGCCGAGCCGAGTCCGTGGCGCAGACCGGTCTGACACACGGTCCGCAACGGCGTCTGCAGAATGAGATCCTGGGTACTCGACTGCAGTCCGGTGTTTTTTTTCCGTGGTGCACGTCGGTCTGCCACGGGCAAAACGCAACTGGACTAGGAACGCACCCCGGTCTGACGCGGCGAAGACCGGCTCCGGGTGCGGGGCCTGCGCGACTCGCGCGGGGAGGCAGGGTACCCCCATGCGGCACCGTTCGGTCGCTGGGATTGTGAAATCAGCTGGACTACGGGTGCCCCCACGCAAGTCGCTCGTGAACCAGCACCAACACGGCATACGAGGTGGGCCTAGTTCGACGGCGGCCCAGCAGGGCCGGGGACGATGGTCATGGCCGAATCTTGATCCTCGTTTGACCTATGGTGAAATACGAACGCATTGCATAATGTGATTGCTGTTACCAACAAATTTAAATGAGCGTCAGAAACTACCTCATACAACGATCTCCAGAGTACTAAAGCAAGTTGGTTTTGGCCTTGGTCGGACTTCCATGGCTGGCCCTAGGTCAATGCAGTTTGTTTATTCAATTAATATGGTGCCTAACAAACTATCTTAGACATGTATGGCTTTGTGTAACACTTCGTTGTTGTATCAGATTGAACATTTCCTTAGAAATAGTCTCCGCTGAATCCATGGTCTGACTTTGACCCGCTGTAGGTCAGTGACCTTTTAAAGTAATTATAAATTTTTGATGCCAAACGATCCGTTATTCAATGGTCTACAGTCAGGCAAAATTTGGCGCGGCTACACTGTGCCGTTCAGAAAGCATTATTGAAAACCCTGCTTAGCGGACCAAATTAACGCCTGCCAACCCGAGCGCATATAAACCACTAATAATGTCGTTGGGTATCTGGCTCCTATTGTGTATCGTTATATAGGCAGTGGTCAGTCTACGGGACTTTACGGAACTTCAAACACATACGTTTCTGACTGTTTTGTTTGATGGTGTTCCCAAGTTTTGCATGCACAAAGCTCTATCAATTTTATGAAATGTAGGCCGTTGTAATGAAAGCTTTTAATGTGTGCTAATCAAGTTACGATGCTCAATTTTTGGGCCCTC